CCAGTTTAGGCTCGATCCCGGGATTGGGCCTAAACTGGTAGTCGGACATCCCTCTCCCAATCCGGGACTGCTGGCTCCTAACTGCTCGTTTGCCTGCCTGCCTGCCTGATCACCCCTAACCATTCGCCTGCCTGCCTGATCACCCCTAACCGCCTCTGCCTGGCTGCCTGATACCCCTAACTGCTTGCCTGCCTGCCTGATCGCCCCTAACTGCTCGCCTGCCTGCCTGCCTGATCTCCCCTAACCACTCGTCTGCCTGCCTGATTGCCCCTAACCGCCTCTGCCTCAGCCCCCATCACGGCGGCTTTGTCTGGAAGGACATCTGGAATGACATCCAATAGGTTGTTCGGCTGTCTGGTCATATTAGCATATTACACTTTTATTATTATAGATTACACAGATACCCCCATTATGTCCCTTCTCATGTTCAGCAGCACACCAACACAGCACAGACATGCCCCATTTCCCAGCCCCTGTCTGTCTGCCAGCTGGTCTGTCTCCTCTCACAAACACAATTTTTAAGTTGATTCTAAAACATCCCTTTGTAATTTGCTATATAGTGAGTCATAAAGAATTTATTAACAATGAAGAAAAATCACAGCTAAGTATCAGACAGCCAGAGGAAATGAGAATTAAAATAAATTCTTATTTTGGGAAGGGACTGTGGGCATAAATAATGTTTCAGCTAAATAATATCTGAAGAAACATGATTATTAAGATGTGATAAAGCTGGGTGGTGGTTACACTGTGTTCATTATTTTATTCTGTACATTTTTGTTTGAAATATCTGAAATCATTAAAAATAAAAGTACTTACTGTGGTAGGGAAGACATAACATGATTGTGGTTAGAGTACAATGATTGCTGTGAAAGTAGGCAAGGTTCATGGACATTTTAATTTTACTTTTATTCTTTTAAGATTTTTAAAAATATTTTTTTAATCTTTATTGTTCAGATTATTACAGATGTCCCTCTTTTTTCCCCCCATAGCTCCCCTCCACCCAGTTCCCACCCCACCCCCTCACCACCCCACTGTCTGTCTCCTGGAGTTGATAGTGGCCTTGTGTAGTAGGTGTCCTATAGGGTCCAGTGGCTCAGCCTTCCCAGTCACCTGAGTTGGACACTGTTGGTGGACCCCTTTTGGGCTGTGTGCACAGTCTTATTGTAGTTGAGCCTTGATTGCTATTGGTATCACTGGGAGGAATTGACCTTCAGGCCAATTGGCTGTGAGGATCAGCTGTGTCTATAATGGAAGAACTGCTGTGCTGGAGACACCCTGATGGGGCAGGACTTGCTCCAGTGGGGCTTTGGTGCTCACTGAGTCTGCCCCTTGAGTGTGTCACTTATGGATATGAAGAGTTGTAATCTGGTATAGTCTCACACTGACCACTGGCTACATTGGCTCTTGGATCTCCAAGGCGGTGCAAAGTCAGCCACTGCCTGGGGCCACCCAGCAGGAGCTACAGAGAGATCTGCAGATTCCTTCTCTTTGTATCATGTTTGAAAATGCCCAGACGAGGCTCAGCTGTGAAGCAAGGCAGGCTGCTGCTGGTGCTGCCCTTGGGCCTTCTTTTGATAACTTTGGGGCTCCCTGACCTAGCTGCAGCTTGTTTGACAAGTTTTAGGCTGAGAAAGGGCAGGCCATTCATATGCAAAAGCCATTGTGCACAGCTTAGGTGGGGTTGTAAACTGGGTGGGACAGGGTCTCAGGGAATCTCCAGGGCAAACAGCAATGGATGCCTGTCAGCCCTGCACCGGGGAGGTCCCATAACAGGAACAATGACCGTTTCGAGCACCTCTGTCTGGAAGAAAGCTGCCTCCATGTTCCTGCCCTGATGCCAGATAGTCCAGTTTCTTTCCGTATGTGTATGGGTCCCCCAGAGTCTCGCCCAGCACTGGAGCTCAGAGCAAGCAGGAGCTTGTATCTCCCTCCCGATTAAAACAGCACAGCTGGGGTGCCAGCCTGTTCCATGCCTCTGCACCTCCTACCAGTCTCAATGCACTTTCTTCTTTACCTCTCTAGTTGTAGTACTTCCACTCAGCCAGCTTTCCTGGGGTTCTGGATGATAGTTGTTCTGTATTTTAGTTGTAATTTTGATGTGGTTGTGGGAGGCAGCAAGTACAGCTGTTTACCTATGCCGCCATCTTCAAGCTGACCCTTTTTAAGATTTTTAAATTGATTTTTAGAGAGAGAGGGAGAGGGAGAGAAACATTGATCAGCTGCCTCCTGCACACCCTCTACTGGGGATACAGCCAGCAACCTGGGCATGTTTCCTGTGGGGTACTGAACCAGCAACCTTTTCGTGCAAGGGATGTTGCCCAACTGAGCCACACCAGCAGGGTGATAATTTCATTTTAAAGATCTCATTGAAAAATGCAGGAACATACACACTCAACACACAAGGACTGCTTCAAAAAGGATTTTAAAAACAACTGTCAGGACTGAAGGGTCTCCCCCAAAATGTATATACACTTTATGTATTTTAATAAACATCGCCTTTATAATTATTTAAAGTGTGTGTATACATTTTTGGGACTATATATATATTAAACATTTCACTAAAACTAGTTAATATGGATTTATGTTGTACATATATTAAAAGAACACTAATTTTCAAACTTTCAGAGTTTATTTATTTACAAAGAAAAACATACAGAATGGTTCTAATAAACAAAGCACCCGATTCCTACTTTAAAAAAATATATTTTTAAATTTATTTCAGAGAGGAAGGGAGAGGGAGAGAGAGACAGAAACATCAATGATGAGAGAGAATCATCGACTGAGCCTGCAATCTGGGCATGTGCCCTGGCCAGGAATTGAACTGTGACCTCCTGGTTCGTAAGTCAACACTCAACCACTGAACCACACTGGCTGGGCCCAATTCCTACTTTTGTAGTGGAAAAATGTATATGTACACAATTGTGATGGCCTGTATTGATTAATTTTGCAAATGAAATTGACAAAAACGATAAAAATCTAAACTTTAGAGTGCTAATGTTGCCAACAGGCATGCATATCTACATTTGTATAAATTTAGTCTATACCCATATTTCTTTTGCACCCTTTCCCAGTACATTTGACTTTCATCGCCTCCTTGCTGCCCCATCTCTAGTGTTGTGGAGCACCTGTGCCCTAGTCCTTTGCCCCCCATACATGTGCTAATCCACTGAGATGTACCTGAAAACACCAGATTCCAAGAAGGGGTGGGCACCTGGCACATGGCCTCAACTTCTGCCAAGGAGAGGGGGGCCTGGATGTGTTCCCAGCCTCCATTCACTCCTTTACTTGTATTCCCACTAGGCCTGCTTTGCATCCGAAAGAGATTCACAGGAAAGTGAGGGGCAGACTCTTTGTGCCACAAGATGACTGGAACCAGCAAATAAGTCTGGGCAATTCTCCATCCCTGGTGGTGCCCAGAGAACACAGGCAGGCTGGGCAGGGTGGAGCACTAAATCCACAGCCCAGGTGAAAGGAGCTGAGGTGGGGAAGCATTGGGAGCAACTGGGTGGTTGCTGTGGTCAGCAGTTCATTGGGCCCAACAGCACATCCCACCATTGAAGTTCTTGACCGGGCCACCCCACAGGAGTCTCTGGGTAATGGACATAAGGGGGCTCCCCTGGTGGGTGCACGTGGTGTTTCTCTAGGCCAGAGCCCTAGGCATGGCTACTCTGGGCTGTGTGAAAACCCCATCCCCAAGAGGGTTCTGCAGGTAAAAGGTGCCGACCCTGTCCTTACAGACAGTACAAGAAGGCAGGGCTGGTGTACCTCCAACCAGGTCCCCAAAGAATTATGATTGCGGGACTGAAGGATGCTGTTTAAGGACCAAATCTTACTCAGACCCCTCCTCAGTCCTGCCTTCCCCAAGCTTCTGAGTCCACCAGACTGGAAACTTTCTCAAAGAAATGCCTGGGGCCCTGGCTCGTTTGGCTCAGTGGCTAGAGCGTCGTCCTGCGGACTGAAGGGTCCCAGGTTCGATTCAGGTCGAGGGCATGTACCTTGGTTGTGGGCACATCCCCAGTAGGGGTTGTGCAGGAGGCAGCTGACCAATGTTTCTCTCTCATCCATATTTCTAACTCTCTATCCCTCTCCCTTCCTCTCTGTAAAAATCAATAAAATACATTAAAAAAAAAAAAAAAAGAATGAAATGCCTGGGAATCTTTCAGGACCAGGACCAGGTAACAGAACGTCAGTAATGGTCAAAGAAATCCTTATCTAAAACTGTTGCTGTGCACTATGCCCCTACCTCAAGGCTACACTGTCACCTCTGAACATGACCCCCCCAGGGGACAGCCTGTGTCCACCATGAGCCACTTCCTCCCACAGAAAACTGGTCACTTGTTCAAAGAGTAATATGCCCACCTCCTGGACCCCCAAGACTTTCTTCTCCTGGTCTCAGCTGTGCCATAAATTCTCTAAAGCGATGTAATTAGGCCGAAAATGAATGGGAGGATAGAAGTCATTGGCTTCTGGGGGCCTCTTGGGACCAAGTCCTTCATATTCAATACTTACCACAGTGCCAAGACCATAATATGTGTTCTATAACATTTAAATAATGGTTGCATGAAATTGAAGTAACAAGAAACTCAGAGCAGAAGAAAAGCTTTAGGAGAGGGAAGTATGTGAGCATGCATGGGGCAGGGCTATTCTGTGGCCAGGTAAGGTCTGGAGCCCTCACTACTGCCAGAATTTCTTTGAACCCCTATATGTCTTTATATACAGAAGCCTTGGAGGTCTAAGTGAGCTCCCCACTTGGAGGGAAGTATCTAGAGGATGGGGGTATGTATCTGGACTATATGTGAGCGTGGAGAGGTAGGACAGCACAAAGGCTATGGGTTTCATTCTCAGTCTTCAACTTACAAGATCCCTCCAGGGGCAGATACTGAACCCAACCTGGCTGGGCCCTGCTGAGCCCCACCACTCAGGAGCAGACTCCAGTCCTGGCAGCTCCCCTGCCTTTCCCCCTCAGGGCCACTCACATTTTTTTACACAGATAATCCATGTTCATGGTTGAAAAATGTCACCATCACTCTTTATTGAACGCCAGCACAGCACCAGCCCTGTTCTCTCCAGGCAGTGGCACGTGGGCAAGGGGCTCTGACCCCCAGCCGGGAAACAGTGGGAGCCTGGCCCCACCATCACTCTTCTAGGGCCAGCACCCTCCTCGGTGCCTGGGTTGCTCGCTCAGATTTGTTCAAACTCCTGTTCACAGTAGCCTACACTGAGGGGCTGGGCCTGGACACCTCGTCTGCAAGAGGACATGTAGAAACAAGATGAGATCAGTCTTAGGCCCCAGCAACACCTTCACCACAACCAAGTATTCCCTTCCCATATTTCAGTGTGTCACAAACTGTCACTGTCTACCAGTATTACTTGGATTCTCACCTCCAGAGATTCTCACTTGGGGTGGGGCCAAGTGTTGGCAAGAATCTGCATTCTGGACAGGTGCTCCAAATGATTGATTCAGGGACGCCCAGGAACTTTGGGGAGCACCTCCCTATTTCTTTTAAAATTTCTTTTATTATTATTTTCCAAATAATTGAAGACTATTTTATTATTCTGTGAAGATTAATAGTCCTAGTCAAACATTTCATTTTCAACAATAATCCGTTCCATCTCTAGAATCTAAAATGTATACATGCTTTTGCCGTGCCTATAAGATACTATTGATTTTCAAAGGGATGTGAATTAATATTAATTTGGTAGCAATGTTTTGTTAGGTACTGAGCTTTTTTTTATTAAAAAACTTTAATGTTGACATAATTGCAGGTGTCCCCATTCCTCCCCCTTTGCCCACCTCCACCCACCCTTAAGTCCCCCTCCTTTGGCCTTTGCCTATTTCTTTTGAAATTTATTTTATTTCAAATTTTTTATTGATTGGCCCGCTGAGCCCCCCTCTAAGGGTTCTAAAATACTGTGAATGTGGTGGAGGTAGGGGACTGAGATGCTACCCAATCCACACAGGCATGAAAATCTGTCCTTAGTTCTCAGCCTCACCTCTAGGCATGACTCCTTCATTATCCAAATAAGCAATGTGCTTAGAGATGGTAGGGAACCAGCTCAGAGTCACCCAGCGAATTACAGACAGTCGAGACGCTTGGCTCTCAGCCTAGGGTTCTGCTCTGCACTAGGCTGTATCCCTCAGGTCCTCAAGACCTAGTCAATAAATCAATCAGGGAAATAACCATCTTATATAGGCATCCCCAACAGGGGCAAAGGGGGTCATGAGAGCCCAAGTAAAGCATAGCTTAGTTTCTAAAGTTGGCCTGGTTCAAATCCTGATTCTAAGCGACTTTGGGCACGTTCCTTAACCTTTCTGTGCCTCGGATGCCTATCTCTAAAATGAGGATATATCTGCTAGATGGAGTTGTGAAGACTCAACAAAATAATGCCTGTAAAAGGTTAAGCACAGTGTTTACCACCAGTAAGCCTCTACCAGTGTAAGTGTTAGCTATTATTGTGTTCTTTTCCTGTAAGAGGTCCCAACCCCCTGACCTGGGAGCCCCCCCTCCCCCAACCTCCTTGGGAAGGCCCCAGAGCCTGCTTACCTCAGCAGCTCACAGCGGAAGTGTGCCAAACGTTTAAAGGCAAAGTCCGGGTCAGTCACCACCTTGTTGCTCCACAGCCTCTCAGCAACAGCCCCTGCTCTGGGCCTGGAGGAAAGGGGATATGCACCAGGTTTCCCTGGATTCCCTGCAAGGAGGTGGGACACCCACAGGCTATTGCCTCTTGTGTAGGCTCAGGGCCAAGGGATATGACCAACACCTATTCAGAGTGACAACCTGGCTGAAGGGCTCCCGGGACCTCAAGTTCAGCTCTGTCTTCATTAAATGTGATAAGTGATCCCACTCTTCTCTCCCACAGACATGGGAACCAGAGCAAGTCTTAAAGGCATCATGTTACTGACAGTAGCAGCAGTGGCAGGTGTTGTGAGAATATCAACTCCATACCCACCCAGGCTTGGTGAGGCTGCTGAGGAGGTAGTCTAGGAAAGTCTTACTACAGGAATCATGGACTCCCAGGCTGGATCCTGAGCAAATCATCTGTGCTCACCAGGCCTCAGTATCTCTCTCTGTCCTACATGTCTAATAGGTGTTGGAGAAGCATAGGTGGAAGTCAGGTGAGAGGTGGCTATTACTACAAACAGAAGGGTCACTGCAGTGCCCCCTCTCTCAGGCCTGAAAGGATACTAGTCAGGGGGTGGCTAGACAGGATTGAGTCTGTGAGGGAGACCCTACACCAGGGGTGGGCAAACTTTTTGACTCGAGGGCCACAATGGGTCTTAAACTGGACCGGAGGGCCGGAACAAAAGCATGGATGGAGTGTTTGTGTGAACTAATATAAATTCAAAGTAAACATCATTACATAAAAGGGTACGGTCTTTTTTTTTTTTTAGTTTTATTCATTTCAAACGGGCCGGATCCGGCCCGCGGGCCGTAGTTTGCCCACGGCTGTCCTATACCCACAAACCCAACTTCCATGTCCTCAGAAAACCCTTACCAGAGCCTGGGGACCAGGTTTGTGCTGTCCACATACTCTCCCCACATACAGGCCTCTCCACCAATCACCAGAGCCTTCTGCTCGGGACTACCTATGGGAAAACAAGCAACAACAGACAACTCTAAGGTTCCCCTTCAACCACCTTCTCCTCAGATAGGTTGTTTCATCTCCTAACCTCAAATACCCAGCCCAGACGCTTCTGCCTTCCACCCTATGCCCAAGCCCAGCCTCCTTTGGTCAGTAAGGAGAGCACCCTGCTTTCACCTTCAAAGGACAGGGGATCCACCCTGTAGAAGTCCTCCCAGTCAGGGCCATAACTTATGCGGTTCAGGTACCAGGGGGCAGAAAGCAGAGCGCGGAAGCCGGCTTCGGTGATCAGTGCCAGCTCCTTCAAATAGCTTACTGGTACTTCTTCTCGCCATACCTGGATGATTGTGTCTGGCCGAACCTGTCACAAAGGCCAAAGGGTGGTAATGGCTGAAGCTGAGGAGGTTCCTGGGCCATATTTTTATACAGGCAACCAGGCCGAGGGGTGTGTACTCCCTCTGCTTTCCAACAGCAAAGTACTTCTCTGTGACTCTGAACCACTGAGCTCCTAGCCCAGTGCAGAGGTCAAGGATTCCATAGGCCATAGGAGAGCTCCCTGCTGCTTCGTCCCCGTCTTTCTCCACACTGAGATGGTAATACTGGCTGTGAGCTAAGGGAGGCAAGCAGTGAGGCCCAGCAGACTTATTGGAATCTACCATGTCCGAGTCTCCAGATGTTTCTGAGGATGGGACAAGGTTCCTGCGGAGCCCCGGCATGTGGAAGGAGGCTGGGATCTCATTGATCAACAATGAAGAAGAGGGAAACCCTGCTTCCGCAGACCTGTAAGACCTTAGTCTAGACTCAGGAAGAAAAACCCAACCCATTAAGCCAGTCTCGGGAATCCAAGTTACCTAGCAGCAGAAATAACTCTTGAGCAATCTGTAGTGAGGGAAGCTAGAGAGAGGCTCCAAAACCCACACCCAGATCTCTGCAACCTTTCTAGAGGGAAAAGAAAGATGGCTCCTAGTGCTCTGAACATTAAAGCCTACTCCAAATCAGGAAGACCAGGCCATGTAGGGAAGGACTGGAAGACCAGAAGGAGGCACTGAAGGTGGTTCCTTCTCCTCCTGCCCCTGGCTCACCTTTACTTTATTATCAAACACCTCCTGCCACACCACGTAGCCCTTGCCATAGGCAGAGACGATGTCAAGCAGCCTGAAGAGTAAAGAAAGTGTCTGCTCAGCTCAGACAGTCTCTAGGCTGTTGGTACCAGTGATCTGGGGGTTGAGCCTAGCTAGGAGCCCATTCCTGATTAAGCAGTGTCTTCCCTACTTTGGAAATGATCACGCCAAACCTGAAAATATAGGACAAGAGACTCTTTTCAGGGGCTCAGAGAGTTGTCAAGAAGGACCTGGCCCTGGTATGGTCACCCATATGAGGTGACCCAAGGGACCCTGCCCGCCCTCCTTCCTTTCTCACGTCTGGATGTAGAAGGACTCCAGCTGTTTGAAGTCATTACCAAAGCCTTTCTTCTTCATAAAGGCCTGGACATCTGGGTTGGACTTCCTGAATCCCAAGAGAAAATGAGGATTAATTCTTTCACCATCCTAAAAGCCTTCCAAAGCTTGGGGATTAGTCACCTGGCTTCCCACAACTTCCTTTTTCACCTGAAATAATAATCAACTGAGGATCTCAGAGACCCAAAATATGGAAGGTGTGGCTGAACAAAGCTGTATTAAGGGGGCCATTGATATAGGCTGAGAAAGTTTGAGCCTGGACCTGAACAGCTTTAAGTTCAAACTCTCTAAGAGAACACATATTGATCTCTCTGGACTGTGGCATGTAGCTCTTGAGGTCTTGACCTGGGGCTCTGGCACTCTGGATTCTGGTTTCCCTCTCTAACCCCCACCCTGGGCATACTGTGTTTTCCCCTTACTATGTATTCTCTATTCCAGTTGGATACAAGTGTTGCTGCCACTCCCTTGCCCCACAATGTCTGTATTTTGCTCACATTTTCTCCTGGAAAGTTTTCCTCCTCTCCCATGTCTTGAAAAAACCAAACTACTTCCCCAGATCCAGCTCTAGTGCACACTTCTCAGAGAAGCCCCTCAGCCTCTTTTGAGCTAAGTAGATCTGAGGATTTGGAACTTACAATTTAACACTGTCATCTATTAGTCTCAAATTCATTTGTGTCTTGACTCTTCAACCAGACTATTTTAAGCCTTCAAAAGCATAAATTATTTTTCCCTATCCAGGATTTTAACAAGACAATTCTGTGCCTAGAGCTGGTTTTCCCATAAATATCTCAAGGATATGACAAGAGGAAGGGAGAGTTTCACATTCACAGCCTTGCCAAAATCAGGCAGGGCCTCTCTGTAGCTTAGAGGGGAAAGGCCCAAGACCTGAGCCATCTAGATTGAGACAGAATGCTGTCTCAGAGGTTAGTCCCTGAGCAGCACCTGAGACAGGTAGCTTGTCAGGGCCTAACCTCTATTCTGAGCAAGCAATTCATCAGGCTGAGAGGGGAATATCAAAGGGCTCATACCAGCAGGCGAAATCAACCTCATCTCCTCCAAGGTGAAGATAAAAATCCGGGAATACAGAGCTGACCTCCAAGAAAAATGTGTTCATGAACTCATAGGTACTGTTGAGAATGGGATTCACTGGTCCAAAGGTACCAGAGGGCTGAGACCCAGAGTAGCAAGGAGTCAATAATCCAGAGACACCTAAGGCAGTAGAGAACCCCACACAAGTATCACAAATACATAGACCCCCACGCCCAGCCATAGATATAAGGACATTAAGTCACACTAAGTATAATAAACATTATACTCACACAGGTAGAAACACTCAGGGACTCAAAGACACTGGTAATCATGAGCGTTTAGTCACAATCAAAGAAATACACCTATATCCACAATCACAGACAGAGGGTGGTGTGTAGTCAAACTGTCAGCACACACACTCTTGCCTTGACACACTGCTTCCAGCAGGGGTCACCCTCGCTCCCAAAGGCAGCTCTCATACTGCCTCTAGGAAAAGCAGAGAGCCAATTCAGCCAAATTGGCAAAATCTTTCTTCCCACTCTAGAGCACGGCAATCTTCAAGGGATTCATTAAGACAAGGACACCTGAGAAGAATTTGCCCATATTTTAATAGTAAGAAGTGGTCTCCTTCGCCCAAAGTAAGTTCTGCCCATCTAATTCCTAGGTGGAAGAGGTTGACAGAAAACATTCTTCCAGGAGAAGGCATGGCGCATCCAAGTGCTAATGCCCTAAAGCCCCAAGGAGGGGAGGACCAGTAGACTTCCTCCAACCCCTGAATTATTCTTACCTTGTCCCCAGGACAGAGTGTGGCCAGGAGTGTCAAATTCTGCCAATACACGGATCCCCCGAAGCCGTGCATATTCAATCACCTCCTTCACATCCTGTGCTGTGTAGATGTGGGTGGCAGGGTTGTAGGACCCCTGAAAGGCACAAGACATTCTTAAGGATCTTATTTCTTGAAGGCTTATATATTAGTGGATACTAAAAATGCCTCCAGGACTCCCTGGATATCAGAAAATCTACCCACAGCCCTTTGGTATCAGGGACTATCTTCATAGAACTTATTCATAACTTCCCACAAGTTATCACATATATTGTTTTATTTGTGTGCCACAACACCAGTGGAGTGAACAAGGTAGGTATTATGCCCAGCTAACAGAATATAAACAAACAAACAAAAAGAAAATGAGACCAGAAGAGATTATATCCTGAAGGTTACAGAGCAAATTTATGGCACAGCTTGGACTCGAACTCAGGTCTCCTGATTTCAAATCCAGTGCCCTTCCCATGTCAGTGTGTCCCTAAAACTGGCTGGGTAGGAGGAGAGCTAGTGTCCTTGCCATCAGCGCCACAGCTAGGTTCAAACATCATCCCATAAACTTGGTCGGGGCGAAATCAAGACATACCTTTCTGGTGAGCTCTGGAAAAGCGAAGCTCTCGTACGGGAAGGAAGAGTCGTCGACCAGATGCCAGTGGAACACATTGAACTTATTGTATGCCATGGCATCCTGTAAGTCAGAGCATGCACTGTGAACTCACCACAGATTTTCCAGACTCAGCCTCTAGCCTGGGAAGCTGGGCACACTGCCAGGCTGCTCCACACACCCTCAGCCAGCCCAGCGTCCTGTTAAGTGTTAAGAGGATCTATCGAACCTTCCCATCAGGGAGTGCCTGACAGGGAGGGAAGACCGGCATATTTCTTCTTTCCCCAGGGCACAGCCAAAGATGGCTGACAGAAACAGTGCCTCCTCTTTTTGAGATAAGTTGTAGCCACACTGAGAGGAGGGTTGTAGTTATGTGGTCCCCTGGAGTTTTCTAAAAGCTCCCAAATACCCCGAAGACTAACACTTCCTCCTGCCATTTGTTCTGGGTAATAAAAAACAAAAAGCAAGTAAATAAACAAACTGCTCCCAAACTGACTAGTATTTACCCAAATTGTGCGGTCTATTGTGAATTTAGTAGCCCCATAACCCATAAATCTCAGAAGCCAAGACTGATGGATGCCTCCACTCCTTTTATTCCATCAGAGGAGCAAAGGAAAAGACAGACACCTGAGTTGGATCAGCAACTGTCAGATAAGACTGCCCATCAAACTCAAGATAGTGAGAAACACCCCCAGTTACGGTTTTGGAACATCTCCTTCCTACGACCTTGTCGTAACTAAACTAAAGTTAGCTCTGCTGGTCAAAGAAGCCAATCCCAAAGCACCTTCTGCATCCCAGGAGACAGGCTGGACACTGGTCCATAGTAGCCAGTGGGGTAGATTTAAATCACTCTTGTTATGTTTTTGGGTTTTAGAGCACATCATCCTTCACATTTTTCCTAGGAGTCCATAAAATTACTTATACTCTCTAACTCTTGAGGAATATGGCACCTGGGCTACCTCCTGACCCATCGCCCCAAAGAAGGCCTTAAGGCCTGGGTACCAGAGTGTCCAGGATGCTAGGCAGTGGGAGATAGTGCCGAGATGTGTCCAACAGCAAGCCCCGGTGAGGGAAGCGAGGAAAGTCCTCAATCTCCGTCTTGTTGATAAAGAACTGTGTGGACCAAACAGTAAACATGTCAGGATTCAAAGGGAACTCACTATGAGGGTGAGGTGGGGGTGGGGGATGAGGACAAGTCTCCCAAGATCTCTGAAAAGCCACCCTGTGACCATGCTGCAGGGTGTCTCCCCACGTGTCCCACCCCTCTACCCCAATGACCATAAGCAGGAACCTGCCCAGAGAGCAACTGTCCCAGGCTAGCCAAATACAGCTGTCCCACAACCTCAGCCTGTACGGTCTGCATTTTCACTATTAATACGCTGTTTTCTTCAGAGCGGTGTGTAAATCTCAAGTCATCCTATATAATAAAAGGCTAATATGCAAATTTTCTCCTCAACTGGGAGTTCGATCGGGAGTTTGACCAGGTGGCAGGGCCAGCCGAGCAACTGCCCGCAGCCCCTCCCCCTGGCCTGCCCTCCCAATCTCCCCCCCCACCCCGATCGGGGGCCGGGCAGGCCAACCAACAATCGGGGCAGGCCGGCTGGACCCCACCATACACGAATTCGTGCACTGGGCCTCTAGTTACTAAATAATGACTCAGGGGAACTAAATTACCGTGACTCCAAACAGGCCAAATCTACCAAACCAGTTTCCACGCTGTACACTCTTGCTGAGGCCATTTCAAGCCTCCAGGACTTTGTCTTAAAGCAAAGTAAGATTTCCAGGGCTATGGACATTGGGAGCAAACCCAAGATTTAAAAGGAGCCCTGTTAAGCGTTAAATAGGATCTATCAAAAAGAGGGCCCACACTTACTGTGCCCTCAGGAGATCTCCAAACAAGCTGGCTAAAAGTCTCCAGACCTATAGGAAGTAGAGAGGCAGAATAAAGACTCTGGGAGGTGGGAAAAGGTGGATCCATTTGGAAAGTGCCCCGTGTGGCAGGGATGACGTCGGGGCACAAAGTTAAAGTGGGTGTAATGGAGGCTTGATGATTCTCAACACTATGAAAGGGGGATATTAGGAAGCCAGTATCAATTTTTACTCTATTTTATTTTGGAAGGTGGCTGTGTAAGGGGCTTTAGTGCCCCTTCTAGAAACACATTAACCCTAAAAACATACACACCTCCTACCCATATTTCCAAAGGTGTGAACTCACAAGAATATTAAAAAGATGTGTGCTTGTAAGGACAGATGCAGGGACAGTCGGCCTGCAAGAGGTTAAGGCTTTCCAAAGATAATGCTCAGAAGAGCTAAGGGAGCTGAGAAAAAGAGTCCCCAGTTTGCTGCCCCTTCACATCTCCCAGACTGAATTGTGAAGACGAGATCATAAGCTTGATTTCCAAGGTACCTGGGTCCACATCTGGACCTACAAGAAATCATCCCCCTTTCCTCCTCAGGGCTTGAGAAGAGACTCAGCTAAATGGGTCTGAGGTGTAGCAGGCAGCAGCCACCCAGTCCACAGGACACAGACTCCGAGATTCTGGCTAGGCCCAAGGGCAGGCAAGTTGAGTCCAGAGCATTGTATATTCTCAACAGCTGGAGGCCCCACGAAGGAATCCCAGAGTCTTAAATTTTCAGAATGAGAGAATCCATGGTCACTCAGCACCTAATTTGAGGCAGACTGCTAGGATACTGTTTGGCTTTTCTCCACTCTGACTCTGATGCCCAGCGCTCTGGAGTCCCAGATTTCCCCTATCTGACCAAAGTAATCATTAGCACTTGCACAAAAGGTACAAGGGGGCGGAAAGGGAGTTGGCATGCTGTTTCTCCAAAACATAGGAGAGGGGAGAGGAGAGGCAAAGGAATAAAGACAAACCAAACCCAGGTTTGGAATTCTGTGAGAATGTCCCTCATCCTTTACTAGCAGATGTTTTAACAAAAGTAGAGGTATTTGGCTAAGTCTGTATCTAGGGACCAAATTCTTTTTCAGTAAACCAAGAGGAAGGGCATTTTTTTTGACACTTATTTCTTTGATATAGTTTTCCTTTATATAAAACCTGGCCAACTGTGTATCTTTAATGCGAGCTGGACAGGCAGTGTTTGTGGCAGAGTCGCCCCTCTCCTCAGTTACCTGGCCCCACTGGCACCCTGAAAAGCAGCCTGCAGGGTCTCCCATTGTTTCCCCAGAGCACCTGCCCGGGGGAGCTGCTGCCACTCACAGGTAAAACCCATCAACTTCCAGGGAAAGCTGAAGGAGAACACTCTTTTCCAGGGGGATAGGGGAACATGCCACTTGCCCTCTACAAAGAAAGCTTCTTAAAATGCAAGTATGCGGGTAGTCGCTGGGTCCCCAGTCCTGTCCTCCCACCCCACCAATGCCAACTGTCCCACATCACTGCCGGTCTCTCTCCCAGCATCAGCCCCACCTTGTTACCTCGAAGAGCTCCCCAAACGGTCTCAGACAGAAGGAAACACTGCTCATTGTTTATGGTCAGGGTGTCTGGAATGACAGAAATGACCCAACGTGGTTAAAGATTTCTACTCTCAGATCACATACCACATGTTCTGTACAAATCCTTGGATTAAAAGACAACAGCAAGATCACTTTCTTTTTCTTTCAAAGAGGAGACGTTCCCAGAGCAGGGCAATTGCAGGCGGCCAGGCCTGGAGCCAGAGTGGAAGGGTGGTTACCTAGGGGCTCTGTAGACCCTAGGAGATGACACATGACGAGGGTCAGGCTAGAGCAGAGTCCTCCACAAGCCAACACCTGCTTGAGGGTCAGTTTCTCCCCCAAGAAACATGAACTCCTGCCAGCCTTTAGCTGGAAGTATGAAGTCACCTGCTGGCAAAGGGAACAGTGATGCTCGGAGGGGTGAGTCCAGGTTCTGATGTTCACAAAGACTTTGTAACCACCCTCCCTTCCCCAGGCTTCAGCTACCTCATCCAAGAATGTGAGGAAGAAGCCAAGACTTGAATTTCACTTTGGAGACTGAGAAGTGCCCAAATGCTGCTGATCAGGAAAGACAGGAGGCAGTTACAGGACTTGACCTCATCTCAATTCAAATGACCAAAACTCCTCCTTTCCTGTGTAGGATCTCTTAGACAATATCAGCAAAGTATACACACATTCTTAAAATGGCAAAAGAATTATGCTCAGTCCAGAAGGTAGGCGTACTCAGTGAACAGCCAGTGTGACCGTCCAGTCAGCCTGCAGACACTGGTTAGAGGGCATAGGAAACACTCACCGTTTATGGCTCTTGGCACTTAGTCCTCGCAGTCATGGATGGCTCCAGGCCTAGCCTCAGCAATTTAAGCCAGGCCACCCAGAGCTCCAGCTGCAGACAAGCGCTTGCTCTTCTAGAATGGGAACAGGGTACTTACAATTCTCCACTGACTCCAAAGAAGGAAGCTGCTCACATCCAGGAGTGACTACAAGGATAACCAGTGACTGCTTCTCCAATGTTTGCTGTTCTCCTGCAAGGACAGTGTACACTTAATGTGGCTGACCTGCCATCTGAGGCAGCAGGCAAAACCAAAGACCAAAGGAGGGTCCCCAGCTCTAGTCCCTTCAGTTTGCCTGCCTGTGGCAAGAGGGGAGCCAGAGCAGGGCATGCACCCTTGGCACATGCGCTGCCTAGTCACCTGTGTGACTTTTTCATTTTGGTTGTGCTCCCCTCTCTCCCCAGTGACCCACCCTGACCATGTGTGAATGATCTGGTGTCAGCCCTTTGTAACCAGGACTGTAGATTTCTGGCTTGATACAGTCCAAATACACATTTTTAAGGCCCTAGCAACTGCTTTGAAACTAGAGGCAGCTCTAGAGCACTGCTACTCAAAGTGTGGTCTATGGGTTAGCTGCTGATCTGTACACTGTGTTACTGGTTGGTCACCAGACAGGAAGCTTACATGATGCCAGAATGTAAATCAAGTATGTCAGAACAAACACGCGGTTAGTTCTAACACTTTTTTCATAGCAAGGTCTTGATGAAGGGAACAGTTTCACATTCTGGTATGTATGCTTCCCATCTCATTGCAGACTGGCACTTGACGTAGCACTGCTCTTGAAGGCTCCAGATGAAGACTTTCCAACCTTGTAAAATGGGAGCTAATGGGAGCAGATGAAGACAAGGGGATTTCCTATGCAAAGGAGGCCCTGAGATGATCCAGCTGGTGTCCCAGCAAAGGCATATGGTCATCAGCCCATTCTGCTTCCTTCCCTCCTCTTCTCTATCCAGGTTCTTTCCCAACAGTAGAAAGCCACGTAGTCTGAGCCCAACATGCTATCGCATAGAGTCTGACAAACCCAGTATACGCTGAAAAAAAGACAAAATACCAATGCTGTCTCTTCTCACCCTCCTACTAGTTCTTCTCTGTGACCTTCAATACAATTGTGATTGTACTGTCCCAAGCCTGAGTCTCAACCAGTTAACTGCCACGCGTCCAAAATGGAAACCATCCTTGTGTCTATAGATGCTTATGGCATACAAAAGGTCAATGATCTCTCTCTCTCTCTGTCTCTCTCTCTGTCTCTCTCTCTCTCTCTCTCTCTCTCTCTCTCTCTCTCTCTCCTTTCTGGAGCCACATGCATTCCCACTGGCACCGCAACATCTATGATTCCTATGGGACTACACAGCCAGGGACAGAATGGCCTGGCAGAAGGCAGGGAGAGAGAATCCAGAACCAAGTTGGAACACCAAATGTTATTTGTCTCTAGACAGAAGGAACCCAAGAGCCTTGAACCATCTCAAGGAAAGCTTGCTCACCCCTCCAGAGCATGACCACCTGGCTGCATCTGAGCTCTCTGGTCTGCCAAGAAGGAACAATAAGGGGCCCTTTCCAACCATCCTGAACAAAAAGATTCTCTTCCCTCCCAGTGAACAGCCTGTATCCTCACTCTAATACCTACCTAAACTCTGCAGGGAAAAAATAATTTGAGGTTTCTCTGGGCCAGGCCAACTCACAACTCCATTTTAAACCCTAAAAACTCAACCCCATAAACATAGAAGGACAATCAGGCTTTCAGGGCCAGGACCAATCTCAAAGGAGGACTCGACTGAGAAGTGGTGGTGAAGAAACTATAAAAGAATATTCCTCCTTAAACTATGCCTTCATCCCGTACCTCCTTGTCCCCACTCTGTCACATATCTCAGAGCCTCAATATCACTATGTGGAGAGTGCATCTGCATATCTATCCAGGCAGCCTTCCCAAGGAGGGCAAAGTCATTACTTTAGTATTAATCCTCTGGATCTCACTCAAGCTACCAAACAGGAGAAATCACAAATAATCTGTATGCAACTGCCATGGTCACTGTCCCAGGGACAAGAGAGGCTATACAAACGCCAGGTTTATCTGAATTATTACGTGAAGACAAGAAAACAACTAATTTTTGTTGTTGTTGCTCTATCTTATTTTTCTAAAACACATCTGCACTCTGCTCTCTAAATCCATAGTCATTTAGGGAGAGGGTCACAGATTCTTTTGAAGATCTAATGAAAATGAAAGGATCTTCCCCCTAGAACAGTGATGGCGAACCTTTTGAGCTCGGCGTGTCAGCATTTTGAAAAACCCTAACTTAACTCTGGTGCCGTGTCACATATAGAAATTTTTTTATATTTGCAACCATAGTAAAACAAAGACTTACATTTTTGATATTTATTTTATATATTTAAATGCCATTTAACAAAGAAAAATTAACCAAAAAAATGAGTTCACGTGTCACCTCTGACACGCGTGTCATAGGTTCGCCATCACTGCCCTAGAACAATGCCCCTAAATTAAGGGCTCATCCCTCCACCCGTGCCACTAATCTCATGGTAAAGAACCCCTATCCTAAGTGACTCATCTGGGTTTGGGCTGCTGCTTTAAAAAGCTGAGGGGGAAAATCTGGGGGAGCTGGTGATGTGAGAGCTGCAAAACAGGAGGGACATTGGTAACTTAAAAGGAAGTAAATAGCGTATCATTGTGGTTTTTCACCTCCAACTTGCTATTCCGAAGAGAGAAGAAAATAGGCAGGGAATAGGCTAGCCACCTCTGCACACACCCACACAGACTGCACAGAGAAGCACCCAGGTGTGGGAGGCACAGGACAGGAAACAGCCCATCAGGCAGCAATCTCATGGGCACATTCACAGTAAGCCCAGGGGGGACAGCAGGAAATCCTGAAGCCTCAAGTGCTCAGGAAGCAGCCTGGAAAACAGAACAAGGAGCTAGGAAATCAGGAAAGGTAGGTTCTGGTTCTGGTTCTATTGGTGCCAAGCAGAGTGAATCTCAGGCTCCCATTTCCTCCCATGGAAACAATGACAGGGCGGGACCACATCATGTCTTCCAGGCCCCATTTCATGACCACTGCCTCCTATCTCCGCAGCTCCCTCATCTCCCTGCCTTCGGTGAACTTGCTCTTTTAGGGTTCACTGAGAAGTTTGTATTTTTCTTTTTAATTAAAAAGTTGAAAAATTTGAACAGTACAGAGTATTTAAAACAAACTGTCTTTGATACCCCTCCTTTGTCACTCTCTCTGAAGAGATAACCACTGTTAGTTTTCTACCCTTGTGTCCCGTTTTTAAACATAATTTTGCTTTATTCATCACAGACAGATCCACTGGATATGAAACTCAGAGTTCCTTTTATCCCCAAAGTGCCAGTGGCAAACCATCTTCCATCTGCTCTCTGTTGCAGATCCTCTCCCACCTTTACTTACTTCCCTCCTGCCCTAGAAGTGGTGGGCCATCACCTCACATTCTAGCCAGTACTCTCAACAACCTGTCTCTTTTATCTTCTGTTGCATTCAGTGGGCAAAACTCTCAACCCTAAAAATCATGTATCAGTGGGATTGGGCCACTGGTAAAATCATGGTCTCTCATCTTGGCTGGGCCCTGGATGCTGCCCTGAAAATCTTGTCTCTGCCATTGCTATTTTTTCTATTCTCTGTAACAGTGATTTCAAACGTATACTGATATAGTAGGCAGTTAAGACAGGCATGAGCAGAGTAGGATAGGCCAGGTACAGAGATCACCAGGGCAGAAAGCTGGTATGAACAATTGTTGGGTGGGACCTTGCCCTTAGAGTGACCTTTCCTCCTCTTGCATATCTCTGGTCATTCCTCTTAGACTTCCTAACCCAGTGGTTCTCAACCTTCCTAATGCCGAGACCCTTTAATACAGTTCCTCATGTTGTGGTGACCCCCAATCATAAAATTATTTTCGTTGCTACTTCATAACTCTAATTTTGCTACTGTTATGAATCGTAATGTAAATATCTGATATGCAGGATGTATTTTCATTGTTACAAATTGAACATAATTAAAGCATAGTGACTAATCACAAAAACAATATGTAATTATATATGTGTTTTCCGATGGTCTTAGGCGACCCCTGTGAAAGGGTCGTTTGACCCCAAAGGGGTCGCGACCCACAGGTTGAGAACCGCTGCTCTAGACTCATACACCTCTGCTCCTCAAATGTCTCAAAAGCACCTTGAAGCTTAAATACAAAACTGAACCAACTCTTCATTCCTTTTCCTGGCTGATCATCTCTCTCAGTTTGATAACAGCACCATCTATTAAATCAATAGATCATAAACCCAGACCATAAACCTCCTCCTCCCCCCACCTTTTTAAGTAGATCTCAAGTTAATTCATTCAATATTTACTGTCTGTCTACTATGTATCAAACACTATGTTAAGCACTGAGATTACAACAGTGGAAAAGAAAGATCCAATTAAGTCTTATAACTACAAATCCTTATTATCACAACATCATCATCATCTTCCCACTTCCATTGGTCAATGCCTTAATTCAGCCTCTCATAAATTCTCACCTGGATGACTATAAAAAAATCTCCCAGGTGGTCTCTCCCTGCCTCCTTATATACCCCATTTCAACCTACTATCCTTTGTGATCTTTTAATATGAAAATCAGATTATGACAATCTCTGCTCAAAGTCCTCCAGTGGCTCCCGTAGCTTTCAGGATAAAGTCCAGAATCCACTGGATGACAGTAAGAACTCCAGCCATGTCTTTCTCTGTTGTAGAAACTCTGTATAGAAACTCTCACAGTAGCACAATGAACTCTTTACAGAAGCCTGGATACCCCCAATTTTCTCCATACTTTTCTTTGCACACATTGCTTCTTCCAATTGAAAGAAATTTGCATTGCTTCCACATCTCACCTGATTAAGAAACAGTGCTGGTTTTCCTTTTATAAAGCTTTGCTATTAGGCCCCCACCCTTTCCTAAGAGACCTTCCTATGTGACCATGAATCAATACATACATACATTTTTCATGACATTTATCTTAATACTAGAGGCCCAGTGCACAAAAATTTGTGCACTCGGGGGCGGGGGAAGGGGGGGGGCGCTCAGCCCGGCCTGTGCCCTCTTGCAGTCTGGGACCCCTCGGGAGATAACGACCTGCTGGCTTAGGCCTGCTCCCGGGTGGCAGAGGGCAGGCCCAATCCCTAGGTGCAGCCCCTGGTC